GTTTGGTGCAGGGAAGCTGAGGCAAGAGGAGTGAAGGGATTACCCGGAGTCATTCTGGACTTCTGCCAGAGGAGGATGTAAGTGTAGGCATTTGGGCTTCCCGACGCCTCTTCAGGCTGAGACTTTTCCTTCAGGTCATGTGTTGTCCAGCTGCCAATTTTTCTGCTTTGCTCCAGAGAGCCTCTTTTTCCAATCTCACTAGAAGGAAGCTAACAAGCCTACCAGAGCAGCTCTCTTGGCCACATGGCATCCTCATAGCATTGGGTGGTGTCATGTAGTACGGTGCCTTTTAGATGTAGCTACCTCAGGCATCTTTGCGTAGCGTGGGGAGGAAGAAACACATTTGCAGGCAGCCTGTGGATGGGAGTAGATGATGTCACTGTATGGGGCAGTAGGTGCCAGCATGGTGTAGCAAGCCCTACCTGGAATCGCTTGCAGGATTGGGAAACACCAGTGTAGCCTCTAGAGGGGACTTCCAAGCAATTTTATTGTCCCCTTCAAGAGACACCTGGTGTCACACTAGCAGTTCAGCAGCATGTTCTTGGCCATCACTAACCACCTCAATGTTTCTTTCTCCCAGTTGTCACAGATGAAACCCTGAGCTTCATCCAGAAAAGCCGACATCTGCTTGTTGTCCTGAGCCCCAACTACGTCTTGCAGGGGACACAGGCCCTGCTGGAGCTCAAGGCTGGTCTAGAGAATATGGCCTCCAAGGGCAACATCAAAGTCAGTCTAGTGCAGTACAAGGCCATCAAGAAGAGCAAAGTGAAGGAGCTGAAGCAGGCCAAGGCGGCCTTGACTGTCATTAAATGGAAAGGCGAGAAATCCAAGTTCCCAAAAGGCAGGTTCTGGAAGCAGCTGCAGGTGGAAATGCCAGTGAAAAAAATTAGCAGGAGTTTGAGCCTTGATGCGCTTATACGTATCCCTGAAAAATGTTTGTCACCTTCAGAAAACAGAGCAAAACAAACCCCAGAAATCCACAAGTTAGGCCAGGGAGTGGGAAGGAACTCAGGGTTTTTGCCATGAAGGACTGTGTCTCAAGCATTTCAGAGGACAGTCATGCCTCCCTGCAGCTTTTCTACTGCCAGGGCAGTAGAAGGACCAAAGGTGCATACACCTCCTCTCTGCAAATGCATGTTCTTGTCATCAACCACACAAGCCCTGGGCTCAAGGTCTAAATTTGGGCTATCCATGTGGGATGCAGCCAGCACCTTGTGATAGCATGGTATTTGTATAGGCCAGTACTCCTAGATCCAGTTCCTATGGGACCTTTGTTAGCATCCAGGGCAGAGCTCCTTTCCTCTCCTAAGTGGCTTCACTCCTTCCTGGTCGTTGGTCCCTGTTGCGGAGGCTGGGGAGCAGTTTGAAAGGCTGGCTCCAGGTTAGAGCCTTTCATACGTGTCCCAGCTATATAGTCCTGATCACTGTGGAATCACAGATTTCTGCTTCAGTGTGGGGAGCATAGACTCTTGAGGCTCCTCATCTTTGCTCCCCACATTTCTGTAGGAGCAGGTGCATTCAGATAGTTTGGTAAATGTGAAATGGCTGTTACAAAAGCATTTAAAAAAAAAAAAAAAGCTCTTGCTAGGTGATATTTGTGTTGTAGCATTTCTACTAATAAGCGGTCAGTCTCTGGGACTATGCATGCTCCTGAGCGCATCCTTCAGGGCTGTAATGCTCGTAATCCAGGGGAAATCTCTCTTCAGTACAGGCATGGCCAAGAGGTACTTCTTTGTAGAGTAAACTCAGGGATTTCACAAACACTGCAAGGAACCTGAATTTACTACTGAACCCACTTACTGTCTCTGTGCTGCTGGCTGGGGGAAAGCACATGCGAGGTGCTGCTGAGGCCTCTGGGATGATGCTGAGTGTATGTCCCACTCCCCAGGAGACCCCAAAAACTTATTTGAACTTATTAAAAATTACTGGTTTTGTCCAGCTGGCTAAGACTGTGAGGACAGGCTGAGAGAGTTGGGGTGGTTTAGCCTGGAGAAGAGAAAGCTCTGGGGAGACCTTATTGCAGCCTGCCAGTACGTAAAGGGGGCTTATAAGAAAGATGGGGACAGACTTTTTAGCAGGGCCTGTTGCAATAGGACAAGGGGTGATGGTTTTAAACTAAAGGAGGGTAGATTCAGACTAGATTTAAGGAAGAAATTTTTTATGATGAGGGTGGTGAAACACCGGCACAGGTTGCCCAGAGAGGTGGTAGATGCCCCAGCCCTGGAAACATTCCAGGTCAGGTTGGACGGGGCTCTGAGCAACTTGATGTAGTTGATGACACCCCTGCTCACTGCAGGGGGGTTGGACAAGATGATGTTTAAAGGTCCCTTCCAACCCAAACTATTGTATGGTTCCATGAAGATTCAGTGTTCTCTGCCTGGGTATGAACAACATTGCCGTTCATAATTCAGGGCTCAGGTTTAAACCTGACTTTACAAAGCAAGTCTCCACCCATCTTGTTTTCAGCCCAGAGTTGCAGAACAGAGGAGGTATCTCAGCTTCTGCAACCTTTGCACAAAATGGAAATACAAAATACCACTTTTATACATAAAAGTACCAATCCTTGCTTCAATGGGAGGCAGCAGGCGTAGGAGAGGACCTGGTGTGTTAACCCCCAGCAGACAGGCTTTTCAGACTGAGGAGGGGAGTGTCCCTGCCCTTGTAGTACGGACCAAAGCACAGTGGGACCCTGACGTTGACTGGTACTGTTGTTCACAATGTTTTCACTTAAAACTACAAGCTCTGAGGGTGTCTCTGTACTCCTGTAGCTCCTAATGCGAGGGCCTGCCCACTTAATTGTGGAATTCAGTATTACGCACACTAAGTGCATGCTTATTTTTTGTTGGTAATGGTTGAGTATCCTGAGTCACTTCTGACTCATGCTTTCGCTCTGTTGGTGTCCAGCGGGTGAAGCATATCCGTTCATAATGGCATTAAAAATGCACTACGATTTGCAGTCTATGCACTGTTCACCCAGCTGAGCAGGGAGGTTCGAGGGCGTCCCACTAAACAGCCCAGCCTTAAAGGAGTGGGGCTGAATCCTGGCGTCGGCAAAGCCGCTTGCTCTTAGCATCTTATGATTAATGTTATTCCAGGGCGGTGGGGAGCCACAGCCACCCATGCCGTTGGGCAGGTACTGTACAAACATGGAACAAATAGAGCTTCTTTCTCACCTTCTTTATCCTCCCCCGCAAGTTAGCTCTGCTTTAAGCAGGTAGAATTGCAGTCAGCTTCACTGAAGGCAGTGGAGCTCCTCATCTGCTCAGAGGGGCTTAAAAGCTTTACTGTTATGAGCTTTTCTACCGTGGCTGTCTGTGGAGGGGCAGAGCTGCTTCCCACACTCCAGCAAACTTCATTTGTTTGAGATAGCACCCAAAACCATGCTCAGCTTTGTGAAGCCATTGCAACCATGTCATTTTGCCCAGCTTCACCTTTTTGTTTGTGCTTTCAGCATCCCTGTAATCAGCTGCCAGATCTGCAGGCAGAGGGAAGGCCCTGAGGCCAAAGCAGAACTGTGTTAGATTCCAATTTAATGTAAAAAAAATTGACTTAAAAATATGCATAAATTCAAGTAGCATCGCAGACCTCCCCACATCACATCTCACTTTTGGCTGAGGTACCGAAAGAACTTCTGCTGATGTTTTAGTTTGTCTGATTATTTTTGGAAGTTAAATCCACCTCATGTATTTTTCTGATTTTATTCAAAGAGTTTTCCAAATGAACAATGGACCAGGACTTTCTCTGGCCCACATTGCAGTGGCCCTTGGTGCCACTGCAGCCTCAGAACAGGATTACTGAGAGACATCAGCAGAGCACCCGCAAGGCAGAAGGTGTGATGGTGTGAAGGGGGGCCAAGAGGTCCAAGGGGAGCAGCATGGAAGGAATATGGCGGGAGCAGGCTCTGCTCCCTCAGGAGCTTTACCACTGGCTTTGCTGGGAGCTGTCAGGCCAGGAGTAAACCCCAGTCGCAGCTGTAATGCAGATCTGCAAAGCACCTCAGATGTGCCTGCCATTTCGTCCTCTGCCACATGTGGTTTCCATTATGGGATTCTGTTACAGCATCTGTCTAGTTCGGTTGATTCATTTGAGTTTCTGTGCTCTAACCTAACATTTATCAATATGCAGCTCATAGAAAATTCCTCATTGTTATTTCATGGGGAAACAGTGTGGCACAAATTGGAAAAAAATCTTCCCACCCCCGTGCCATTTGATGTTGTACAGCTGTTGTATGTTTTTGCCTTCTCTTTTCTGTATGTTTTTGCTTTTGTGTTATTTGGTCTGTGAAGTGTCAGTATTACTTTGTTTTGCTTTTCAATAAAACATTTTCACTTTTGCATTTCAGTCCTTGTTCATTTCTCATAAGTATCATTTTCCTCCCCATTACGTCTGCGAAAGGCCATTAAAGAAATTACTGTGTCCAAACATCAAGATCATCTGGGGACACCTCCGTAGAGGGGGACATTTTCCTGGCTGTTTCACAGTGTGCCTGCAGAGACCTGAGACACCACCACTGCTACCAGGGCCATGCAAGCAGAAACGCAGTGACACGCAGCATTCAAATGTCACCCAGCAGTGAACATGCACACACAGAAAGTCTCTGACCCGAAGCGTTCTTGCTCAGCAATCACGAGACAGAAAGATGGGAAAGAAACACCATCCCTTTTCTTGAAAGGACAAGCCAGAGTGTTGAACACAAATCCTGGAAATCTGTCCTAACCACAGAAATCAAACTCACTCTTAGGCTGCTTTGCCCGCCGCCTTCCAGCTAGTTGGCTGGAAGAGGTTCATTCAACTTCATATTTTCTCATCCAAGCCACTTGTTGAGATGGGACAAGTGTGTGGCTTTTATAGTCCTCTGTTATGTCTCTGGGGCGCATCAGGGGAGACACAAGTAAACCGGCAAAAATACGCAGTGTCCTTCGTAACCATGTAGTAAAGATGGAAGTTTTTAAGTATGACAGCTACCCAAGAGTATTGAATTCCCAGTTCAGGTGGTAACCAGGCCCCCACAGCATTATTGCTGCCTGGCCCAGCCTGTGCAGTTGGTGTTGCTGGGAGGAACCATCCTGCCTGCACACTGTGAAGTGGCCACTCAGGATTTTTTGTGAACTGGGATTATTGCAAACTGAACATCCCAAGGTATCCCTGTCAGCCAAGTCTAAATGCATCCCATTCTCCAAAATAAAATCTATCTTTGGGAATTTGAGCATTTTCCCTGCCAAAAAAATGTCAAGTCTTAAAAAGTGTTGCAAATTCAGAATTGATAAAAGAAAGCCATCACTGTCAGCTCAATCAAAACATTAAATTTAAGCAGTGTTGGAATCATTCACGTTAATTGAACCGGTGCTTTTTGAGCAGGCAGGTAGAATAGGTGACCTCCCAGGGGCTGCTCCTGCCTGCGTTTCACTGTGATTCTGTGATTCCAGTTTCAAAAAGAAAGACCTTTCAAACCAGCAAAGGAGCTTTTTCTTTCACAAAATGTTGAAGCTTGGCTGATTTCAAAATAGATCTCAATCAGTTATAGAAAGGTTTGAATGAGGTCTGGACTCAGTAAATTGGGAAATTGCTGTCAATTCTTTGTGCCTTTGAAATAGGGTGGTAAGAATGTTTCACGGCATTAAGTGACAATTCTAACGGAACAGACTTTATCATCTACTTTTGATTTCAATGACTCAATGTTTTCCTGTGTGTGTCAGGGGGGCAAATCCCCCCACCAAACCTTGTATACAAGAAAAAAATACTCCAAATAATTTGACTTAAATTCCAGTAGTATGCTAAAGAACCAAACGGTGCCTCACTTTCTCCATTAGCATATTATTGTTCAGTCATTTTTCCTACCCCAAGTTCTTGGTCCCCAAATAATCTAGTGACAATGAGTTTTACAGCTAGTCATGTATCTTTGAAAAGAAGTATTGCACTGTAGAGTATTAAAATAAGATGCATCCAGGGGCAACACGGTGCACCTTCTGCTGTGAGATAAGAGACAGCCAAGTGCCGGAAGAATAAGAGGCATTGCCATTGTAGGG